CCTTCGATAGGTGAATGGCCAACCTGCATCCCATGTATCTGTAGTTGGTGTTCCTTTTTATTGCTGAGCAGCATTTAGCAATAAAGAAGAACACAAACTACTGATACATGTAACAAGAGAGATGAATCTGAAATCCATAAAAGAAGCCAGACTCAAAAGGGTACAGAATATGATTCTATCTACATGACATTTTGGAAAAGGTAAAACCATGGGACTGGAAAACAGATCTGTAGTTTCCAGGTATATGGTTAAGGGATTGGATAGAAAAGGGCATAAGGAAACTTCTTGTGATGGTGGATTAGCATGGTGATTATCCAGTTGTATGCATCTGTCAAAACTCAGAACAATACATTAAAAAGGGTGATTTTACTGTAAATAAATTACACCTCAATTTTTAAAAACTCAAAAACAACTGAATAGACTACAGCTGCACACAACACAAATGAATTCCAAAAACATAATATTAGCAAAAGGTAGTATAAAATGAGAAGCAAGAATTCCATAAAAGGATAGTAATTGACTTTGATGGGGAGTAAGGCGGCAGAGATTGGGAAGGACACAGGGGTTGGGGAACTTCCAGCATTTTATTCATTTTTCCAGTATTCTTTTTTTCTGGTGGTTACATGAGTAGTTGTTTTGTGATAATTCATTGAGCTATCATTTATATTTTATATCCTTTAAAAAGAAAGCAAGCCAAATAGCTCAAGGTCAATTATAAGAGAATAAGAATATATATTTCTTAGAAGTATAAGGCATTCCTAGATTCATATCTTGGCTCCACCATTCATTAGATGTGTGACTTTGGGCACATTTCTTAACCTTTTTCAGCATCACTTTACTCATCTACAAAATGAAATTATATCTGCCTCATAAAGTTATCATGTGAATTACGTGAGATTAATATAAACACCCTTCAGGATATCTACCTAGCTCTCAAGACCTTTTAGGGGTTTTTGTACATGTGGGGTGGGCTCAGCAGCAGCTATGCTTTTGTGTTTTACAACCCCAATATTGCCCAGCTGGACCAAATGTGGACACCTGACCCAAGCTAGGCTAATCACAATGCCCTCCAGGGAGCTCAGAATTGGGAATGAGCAAGTTCACTCTCTGTCAGGGCTTTATCATCAACAGGAGAGACATGAATCTCCGGAGCAGTGGTACGCACACATTCTATCCCCTACATGGCCACAACCACAGAGAAAGAAAAGACTAAAACAACAGGGAAATGGAGTGAGTGCTGCCTCTGCTTCTCACTGACATCTGGTTCCTGTTTCCAGTCCCTTCCTGGGGTCAGTCTTTAGGTTCCATAAAACACAAGAATATCTATATATAACAAATGTCCTTATGAAAATCATGTAGTCCAGGTTGGATCCCATTATTTATAACTCAACCATCCTATCCAATGTGTCACATAAAGCATGAAGCACATAGAAAGGGCTCAAAATATGACAGTGGCAGCAGCTGTCTGATCTTTAATCTGCATGAAGCAGAGACTTCCTTAACAAACTCTTGAAAGAGGCCTACGCTGGTGTTCAAAACACAGACTGACCTCAAGGAGGCCATAGTCTACCCTTCTGTTGGAGGTCTGTAAGAAATCTGTAAGAAAACAGTCCGGTCTCAAGTTTCCTGCTAGATCCAAAAAAATTCCCATTGCTAAAGATAGCTCAAAAAAGAAAGAAATTCTAGAATAACAATCAAATTACAACAATGAAACATTCATAAACAGAATCAAATGCCTAAGTTTAGAGCCTAAAGCAAAAATCAGACTCGGTAAGTTTTCTCCTAACCAACCAAGATAAAAGCGGAATATTTACAGTTAAAACTGTCCTGAACTCCCTTCTTTTCTTGGGCAATGCCTACTAAATTTAGACTTCTACGTTTTTTAACACTAAGATGTACCTGTCTTTTGACATCCACAAGCCAGAGGCTATTTTCCTCATTACAGTAAAGATACCAAACTGGTAACCTGAGTTAACGCCAACAAGAACTTATCACTGATTCTAAAAAGCCCAGCTCCTTCAGGAGTGCAGGATGTTGTCTACATAGTTATCCAGAGTCAACCTATGTATACTCAGATGAAGCAGTGTACAATCAAGTTATATAAGCCAAACTGCAGTCAAGTCCTACTTTATGCCACTTGTTCTTGCAAACAAATTAATCACACAACTGCTAAGATACATGCAGAAACAAAGTGTTGTTACTAACTTAATGACTGTAACCTTAGTATCTGTTTCAGGAGACAAAACAATATCATAGCATAACAATATCAATTTTATGTACTAAGGTTCTCCATCATATCTGAGTGTAGTCTAGTACACTATCGTGTATAAAATATGAAATATGAATAGTCTGAATGGATCGATTCCATTGTTTCCTTAACATATGTAGATAGTAATATTTTTAAAAGCAAAACTGCCAATCTTAACCATGACTACCCTGATATTTTTAACCTAAGATCTGAAAAAATACATATATATCCTAACCCATAATTTTCTTAATAAAAAAATTTTTGTGATATCTGACCTCTCATGAATCTGATTTTCTCTAATATCTGACTGCCATTCATATTTGCATATAAGTACCACCCACACACAATGAGATAATATTTGTAGCATCCATTTAAAAATTCCTGAAGCACGTTGGAAGCTTAATTTTCCTAAATTAATGGGATAACATATACCAGTGATCATGAAACCATCTGTACACAATATTATAAATAAAATTTATTTATAAACACTAGAGGGTGCTGTAATTCAACAGTGCCTGGTGTCTGGCTCTGATGCTCAAAATTTTTTCCTCAATTAAAGATAAATTAAGATAATTTTCAGCACCAACAATTTTTGCTCTTGAACTAATACATGGAGATACTTTATGAGACAGAATTCCTTTCTCCCAGGATATATAATGAAACTCAGTAGATTCCACTGAAATAATTTTTATACTTACTGCATATTTAATATTGTGTTAAATGGACAGAATAGAAAATAAGTTCAGAAGAGTATAAAGATGGTCCTTGCCTTTAAAGTAAATTAATGCAATAGTCAGATGGTTAAGAGAAGGTGTATCTTATAATTTCATAGGCTTATTAAAGGAAAACTACAAAATAAATTTGTTAAAAGACATATTTCAATTTTAGTTGCTAAGTATTAAGGTATGATTTAGCTATTTTACAAGAGTAATCTGAAATTCAGTATTCAAGATAACAAAACTGACACTGCTGTGGAATATCATCTGATACCTTAAAAAATATTTTTAAGCCAATAGGTATGAGAAACTGGAAAAGATCCAAGGCTTTGAATATTCAGAATAGGAAATAATGATATCAAATTTAAATCTTCAAAAAAGATGTATTTTGTGCTAGTTTCTAAATTATTCCTGAAACATTTGTAAGCTCAATTACAAGTCTACGGAATTTTCAAAATTGAGAGTAATTTATGTTGCCAGTTAGCAGTCCAGAAAAGTTCCCAGGAGTATGAGTTTCCAATAGATAGCATTAGATAATCACAAATAACAAAGTTTAATGTTAGTAGAATAAATCATCTATGTATTTCAAGAAAGTAACTATTAATTGAGATACTAGGGATCCCTGGGTGGCGCAGCGGTTTGGCGCCTGCCTTTGGCCCAGGGCGCGATCCTGGAGACCCGGGATCGAATCCCACGTCGGGCTCCCGGTGCATGGAGCCTGCTTCTCCCTCTGCCTGTGTCTTTGCCCCTCTTTCTCTCTCTCTGTGACTCTCATAAAAAATAAAAAAAAAAAAGAAAGATTTAATTGAGATACTATTTAATCCTAATAAAGTATTTTGCCTTTAAAATGTTTAGGGAAAGAAACAAATACTTCTAAAATTCGCATACTCCAAATCAACCAATCTCTTTCCCTTTCTCTCCTGCTTGTGCACTCGCTTACACACATATATACACAGTGCATGCATGCACACTCACATACCAACTACTTCCCAAGAGAGACCTATCTGGTGAATACCTCTCTTCCTTTCCCTAATGAATTACCAAGAGCCCCCAAATAAATCCGTAACTGGCACCTGTTGATTAGAGGGTCACTCCAAGTTTACAATAGGTCCAGATAAATTGTTCCAGATTAACAGAATATAATACTTGAGAAAAGCCAGAGATACCACTGAACCAGGCTCACAAACCACCCAAACTCTAAGAACCAAAATATATGGCAGTCAGAGATGTAACCAGATTGGTGAAACCCAAAGAAATTCTAAACATGGAAGCACTGCATTATAGTTGGAAGTATGTATTTGGCACTTACATTCTTTTGGCACTCGCTTCCCCTTTTTATGTTTATCTGTCTTACATCTGCCAGATTCCCAGGGCCCTTATTACACTTTTTTTTTTATTTATTTATTTTTTTTTTATTTATGATAGTCACAGAGAGAGAGAGAGAGAGGCAGAGACACAGGCAGAGGGAGAAGCAGCCTCCATGCACCGGGAGCCCGACGTGGGATTTGATCCCGGGTCTCCAGGATCGCGCCCTGGGCCAAAGGCAGGCGCCAAACTGCTGCGCCACCCAGGGATCCCCCCTCATTACACTCTAAATGCCCAGCTGTCATTTCAGGTAATGCCTTCTACTGCAATAGGTGAAAGCATATATGTTCATTAGAGTATTAATGTTTGAAACATTCACATACCTACTCTTTCATGAAGTTCTTCTGAACCATTATATACACCTCCACTAATGAAAAGTATGGCTTTAAACCAGTTACAAGTAAAGTTTTTTAGTCCTTTTGAGCAAGCCTCAAATCACTACTATGAACCCTGTATTTTGCAGCTACAACATAATCCTGCTCATAATCTTAGCTTCCCCCTAATATTTAAGGCTTTTGCCCATAAACCCGAAAAGTTTAGAGCCTACATAAAGTGAGGATTGGGTAGAAATATGTAGTTTTATTTACAAACACTAACTTTCATCTCTTAGTATTATGTAACATCATGTTACATAAAAACATTTTAATAAAATAATAATTCAAGAAGAATACCTGCTTTCTGTGATTTCTAAATCCGGCTGCAAACTAATAGTCTCTGTTGTAATCTCCACTTTCCGTACACTTCCAAAAAAGTCCGTTATCAGGACATTTTTAGGATCCCTCTGAAAAAGATCAGTGCGATGTCCAGGGGTAGACACACAGAGGCTTCTAGGACATACCTGAAACTGAAAAACATATATATAACAATAACAAATATACACATATACATAAAACTTTTATCAAATCAGTAATAGTAGACTACAGTATTTTTTTTTTAAAGATTTATTTATCAATGGGGAGGGAGGCAGAGGAAGAGGGACAGAATGCCAAGCAGACTCCCCACCAAGCACAGAGCCTGACTCAGAGCTAATCCTATTACCCCGAGATCATGACCCAAGCCAAAACCAAGAGTCAGACACTCAACTGACTGAGCCACCAGGCACTCCAATTGTCGTATATTTTTAAAACTTTCTCAACTTAAAGAAGCAACTGATTCTAAAGATTCAAGTTTCATTGCTGTGGTAGTACTTGACATTCTAAGAAAGCTATACAAACATTAGAACAGGTAATAAAAAGGAGAGCTGTCCAAGAAGGGAAAAAAACATTCACTTTTTTTAATCATACGTTACAAAATATATTTTGAACTTTAAATTTAGTGAGAACTTACATGTAACACTATGAAAAGAACTGATTTTTTTTTCCTGCATCTATACTCATCTCAGTGGGGTGCTCTACCAGAATGGTTTTTAAACATTTTATAATCATGACCCTTCATTCAAATTTTAAATTCAAATTAAATATTATACAGAAGCCCAAAATATAAAAAAGATTAAAAACAGAGCTACTCTGAAAGGTAGAAAGCTGAGGCACTGACACCCTCCCTCACTGGATACACCCCTTGTTCTCCTGCTGTGAACCTATGTAAAACCATTCTATAAATTAAGTAACTTTCTTAGTTTATCCATAATGGAAAAAAAAGCAAGGCATCTCCAGATGCTCCAGTGCTGAAAGAATACAGCCTGAAAACCACGACTTCATCTCACACAGATCTCATGATAATTTCTGTTAATCCTATCATTGATATTCCACATCAGTGAATTCCCAAGGATAGATATGTGCTCATTCACTCAGCAAAGCAGAAAAAAATATCTACATACATTTCATACTGTTATCTTCCATAGAGGACACAAAAGTTGATAGGACATGGTCCTATCCTCAAGGCTTTATGTTAGAAACAAACATAACAAGACAGAAAGAAAGGTGACAGGTTCTACTTCAGAAAAGGATAAACTTTTCATAGTTTGAAGATAAGAAAAGAGAAGGAGTAGGATTTAAGCTACGTTCTGAAGGAAAAGGGAGATTACAGATGGGAAATAACATTCTTAATAAAGAAGCAAAGATGTATCAGGCTAATAACCTAGTTTGGCAGAAGCACAGGATATGTGAAGAAAACCACGAGAGGCCTGCTAGCAAGGGCGTAGGGCCCACAGCACCTACCCACCGATGGAGACAAGACCATATGTATACATAATCACCAATATGACGGGAGGTGAGTGGGGAAGAGCAAAGCAGCCAGGATTTATGAAACAGTGACCCAAGCACAGCTCAATGCAATTTGTAGATATTCTGATTGAAACCTACCAATAACTTTGAGGTAAGTAAAGATTACTATCTCCACTTCAAACTAAAGCTCAAAAAGATTAATAATTTGCCTAATATCACAATGCCATCCTGGTTCAGGAAAACAGTAAAAGGAAATACAAAGAAGAATCAGAAAATTTAAAAAAAAAAAAAGAATCAGAAAATAAATTAAGAAGCAGTGAAGGCAAAAAGGGTGGAGAAAGTAAAATGCCAAACTTACTTACTTACAAGTAAGTAATATGCCAAACAGGAAAGACAATGCGGATGGATGGCTGAAGAAACACAATAAAAGATAAAATACACAAAGATAAGACTGAAGTCCTATGTATACTGAAGGCATTCCTGTATGAGCAAGCAACGTGGTGGGCTTTATTAGGCACCAACAGAAGAAAGCAGGAAAAGCAAAGAGAATGAGCCTGGGCAACAAGATAAAAATATTACCTCTTTGCTGCTAAAATGATCATACTTCTACTTTCTATGAAATTATTCCTTCCTTCAAGAATATTTTATCCTATCAATCTGACTTCCTTGGCTTTAGCAACATTAATTTTTAATAATCTCCTTCACTTACAGAATCTTCACACTCTAGCCAAGGATTGATTATATGCTTACTATTGAAGAGAAGGATTCCAATTTCTGTGCCTCTGCAGGTACTCCATTTTCCTAGAATATGTTATACTTCTCTTCTTCCAAACCTGAAAATCTACCTCTTCTAAGAAAATTTTAATCACTGATCCCACTGTATTTAAAGGAATCATATAAAAGTGTATTGTTGTCATATCCTTTCATTCATTCAAAATATTCACTGAGAATCTACAAATACACGAGGTGCTATATAATTAAGTTCTGTGGGTAGTAAGATGAATAAAGCATGGTTCTTATACTTATTTAAGAACCTCAAAGCCTCGAGGGAACACCACCAATATAAACCATGACTGAGCAATATTAAAAGCATCTCAAAGGTACATAGCAAGAGTTTTATTTTCACAGAGGAAAGAACTTTATCTGGAGGATCTGAAGACTTCATTTAATAGGAAATACTGTATAAATGTGCTTTTCAGCTATTACCAATGATACTATAAGTTTTTAAGAGGCCAGGTACCATTGTCTTCTAATTTTGCTGCTCCTGAAGCTTCTAATATTATACTCTGATACCCAACAAATTTTCCAATACACATACATATGACAAAATAGGTATTATTCCACAACATCTTAAATTATATCAAATCACTAGAATATTTAACTTCAAGGAAAGGGATCATTCCTACTGAACAAGATTAAAATAATCATCATTCAATTAAAAAAACAAAAGCATATTAGTGAGGAATGTTTATTAAAAACCATACAGCACCTGTGGGAAAAAACAAACACATAAACAAACAAAAGTTTCTTCAGTCTTTCCAGTATGATTTCAATGGAAGAAGTTATTTTTTAAAAAAATCCATTAGACATTTGAAGTGTGAAGTACATATGTTGTAAACTTTTGAGACAGTGTGTCGAATATTAAATAAAATATAATATATAATTAAAAATGGGAATAAACTTAAAAACTAAAGTAACTGGAATTTAGGTGACTACAGTTTTCTTACAAAGTAGCATTATAACAAATTTTGTTTTAACATCTAAATTGATATTAAGATTTAACAGGCATCAAAATATATAACCTTCAAAATATAGCAAGTAGTTCTGTGTTATCAAATATGATAGCTTCTAACAGTGGTTTTTAGAATTTTGCAAAACTTCTTTAATTAAAAAGAAAAAAATTACCTGAAATGTATCTAAATGATAAAAGACATCAATGCAAAGCTGTTTGGCTGATGTACGAGAGCCCCAAGCCCAGTCTACTCGATCTCCCTCTCATTCTGAAGCTCTGTGAAGGCAGACAGTGCCTGCCTCTTTCAATAGGATGAAAGTGGCTGGCACTTAGTCAAAACTCAAAAAAAATATTTATGAATAAAAGAACAGGGCATAAGTTAATGAAATAAAGAGTGAAAGTCATCAATGCACAGTATTACCCAATCTACAACTGTTGCTTCAAGCTTTCTATTATGCCTACTGTCACATTCAGTAAGTTCAAAGAGGCGACTACTATAGACGGCACGAGAGAGAAATAAAGCTCCAAAAAACCTTTTTAATCTTACTTAAATTCCAACAGGGAAGAGGTATGGGGTTATTCCAGGAGGTGGGAGGATCCGATTTGACCCCCAAAGAATAAGTAGAATTTCAGTAAGTGGATCTAAAAAAAGTACACTTCTGGTAGAGAAAAGAGCATGAGCAAATGAAGGAAAGACACAAGGTAACTGGGCTAGACTTTAGGCTTCCGGTAGTAAAGAGAGAGAGATTACTGTAAAGGGAGATTCAAAACAATTCAAAGGGTTCAACATGGGAAACAGTACCGTGGCAGTACGGCGGGTAAAGGACTTCACTTTCCACAGGAAGCATACCTATGCGCTATGATCAAACCAAGCAAAGACTTACAAGGTCATTCATATTGGTTTGGCTGGCTGGATTAATTTCTTCCAAAAATTCCAAGACATAAAATGTGTATCTATCCATAAGGTGGACTCCAATTGCAGGATCAGGTTGATGCTATGAAAAAACAAAGCATATACAATGGGCATATTATTCAGCCATTTAAAAAAAAAAAAGACAACAAAAGAGAGATCTTGCCATTTTGCAGCAACATGGATGGATCTTGAGGACATTGTACTAAAGAAATAGGTCAGAGAAAGACAAATACTGTATGATCTCACCTATATGTGTAATCTAAAAACAACAACAAGAACAAAAACCAACCTTATAGATACAGAGAACAGACTGGTGGTTGCCAGAGATGAGATATGGAGGGTAGATGGAGGGCAGATTTAAGGCAAAACTCTAAATTATCTAATAATACACTACTGTTAAATAGCTTGAATTACAAGAAAAAAAAAACCCCACAAAACTCTAAATTACTATGTTACTATGAAAGTACATCTTAAAAGTTCTCATCACAAGAAAAAAATTCTGTAACTATGTATGGTGACTATCTTTGGTAGAGGGGGCAGGTCTAGTGATATATGTTAACTAGACTTATTGTGATTATTTTGCAATATATGCAAATATTGAATCATTATGTTGTTTACCTAAACATAATATTGTAGTCAATTATACTTCAATAAATTTCTTTTAAAAGCAAAGCCAAAAAAAAGAAGTAAATGTTTTAAATGCAATCAAAATTTCCTTCTAAGGTATTAAAAAGTCCAAGAATAAAAAAACCCAGATATATTCATTAAGCATATAAATGATTTGCAAAACAGCTACATATTCCAAAGACAATGCAGTTTACAAATAGGAAGTAGGCACCTACCGAGAGTGAATCTTCTCCCACTTGGCTACTAGCTAAAGCCATTATGTTAGGAGAATAGAATCGTTCATACATGGATGCTCCTTGACAAGTATCAATAATAAACAGCAACTCGTTGTAGCTGAAAGAAAGTGGTAATATATTTAACACGAATCATGCTGTTAATCATACACTGATTAATATTTTTACAATACTTGCTTGCATAATATAAGATGTTAAAGTCCTATCTTAGTCATTTCATTAGTTAAAAATTTGTGACTTTTCGGTAGAATTCCCAATACAAAACTGATATTAGAAATATTAAAACTATAATCCTGTCCAAGGAAACTACCTCAACAGGTTGTACCACAAAGTGGCTGCCCCAACTTATCTTGGCCACATGATTCAGGCTATCCTAGAATATGAGCCAGATTCAGGAAAACACATATATGATTTAGTCACCATACTCAAAAAGCTTAATATCTACTAGAAGAGAGACACATAAACATTTAACTAAATGGAATGTGCTAAGAGTTACAAATAGTTATTAGAGCCTATAATATGCCTGACCCTAAGCTGGGGATATGACAGTCCCTGTCTTCATAGAACTTAGAGTCTAACAAAGTCAAAGTGCTCTAAGAGCACTGAGAAAGGAAGTCCTCTTGATTTGATTATAAGATAATGGAAAACAGATGACTTGTGAACCACAGTGTGGATGTACAAATGAAAACTGAAGGAAAGAATATGAACTGAGAAATGTTGTTCTTTGGCAGATATAGTTTTTAGACATCTTCAGAATGACCAATTTCTCTGAGTGGTGCATAATCTTACTTTGGGAATAACAAATTGTAAAATATTTTTAAAGAAAACTGTTGTATAAAACTCTACCATAGAAACCTTAGACCTTAGAGAGGTAGCTTTGGAATAAAACCTCGGCTGCAGTAGGCTACCTGGGCAAGCCCTATGTGCACGTCAGGGGAGAAATCAGTGCAGGGCTAAGAGTGACATCAGATGAAGACTGTGGGACCCAAACTTGAAGACCCATTAAAAATACTCAATTAAAAAAAAAAAACTGTAAAGAAAGGCAGTCAGTGAAAGGTGATGTCTGGCCTGGGCAATGAAAGGTGAGTTATTTTAACAAAGGAAGGAACAGCACATTACAGGGTAGGATAAAGGCTGTACGAAGGCACCCAAATTTGAAAAAGAATTAATTGTTTGGGAAAAGGGGAACAGTACTATGTAGTTAGGATTTACAGTAAATTTGGGGAAATGGAAGAAATTAGTTTCAAAAAGGTAACATAGAGCCAATCTATATTGTACCTCACGTGAAGTATGGATCTTATCCTCTAAGTCTAGAGAAGCCAACCAGGGCTTTTGTTACTTGAAAATAACATAATCAGCTCTCTATTTTAGAATGGGCTGCCTAGCTGGAGAAAGTAGGGAACAGATATATTTTTCAAAAGTTTCTTTCAGACACCTGATCTAGGTAAACAACTAACATTGCACCTAGAAAAGCAAGCAAGCAATCTTGCCCACAGTATCTAAGCAGGTGATAGAAGGAACAATTCATATGACCTATTTGTCCTGAGACAAAATTCTGTGGAGGCCCCTGAGGATCAGAAACATCTAAGGTTATGAGGGGCAGTACAGTAAAACAATTCAGAGAGCTCTATGACTAGAGCACTTAGGAATGAATCCCAGTGCTGGACTTACTAGTTGTGCAAAATCTGGCAAATTACTGAAATCAATTTATGCCTCAATTTACTCATGTGTGAAAATAATATTAATAGTATCTACTTCATGGAGTTGTTATTGAAATTAAATGAGAGAGTATACATAAAACACAGTGCCTAGGGATCCCTGGGTGGCGCAGCGGTTTGGCAACCTGCCTTTGGCCCAGGGCGCGATCCTGGAGACCCGGGATCGAATCCCACGTCAGGCTCCCAGTGCATGGAGCCTGCTTCTCCCTCTGCCTGTGTCTCTGCCTCTCTCTCTCTCTCCCTGTGTGACTATCATAAATAAATAAAAATTAAAAAAAAAAAAGAATTTAAAATTAAAAAACAAACAAACAAAAAAAAACAACAACAAAAAAAACCACAGTGCCTAGCATCTAGTACACATTCAATAAAGGTAAACTATGAATAAGATAAAACTAGTACCTAACAAAAGCTTTCCCTTCAACACTTCCATTCATCCTGCTTATGCATATAATTCAATATTTACATTTAATTTGTAGCATAGCTGTATACATATTTCTTTTTTCCACTAGATTTTAAACACTGAAGGCAGAATAAACATATTTCTTTCTGTGCCATGTGTTTAGAAGGTAAACCCATAAGTGCTTATTGAAGATAATCAAGTTAAAAGCACTTCTACTGCTTTATATTCACTTACATTTATGACAACTTTCAACTAGAGGGGTGCTTACCCATGGCTTACTAACAATATATCATCCTTAATGTAAGTTACAAATATTATATTAATAATAATTTCAAAAAATAATAATAATTTCAGCATTTTTTCTAAAGAAGAAATAATGTATTGCTATCATGTGGAGAGTCAGAGAAATGTACAAAAAGTAACAATAGGCTAAAGTTGGAAAAAAATATATGTGCACAATCCACCTACATAATAGGGACCTTGATTGATGGGACTCTTATTTCCTCCAAAAACACTGCTAAATAAATAGATAAATAAACACACAAACATTGCTAAATAACAGAGATTACCTTAAAAAGTTAACTTTTTTTATGCTCTTTAATAACACTTAAGTTTCTTTTAAAAATAGTCAGTAAAAATAATAAACATAAGTCTAAGTGAGTAGAAGAAATTATTAAAGTAAATTAAAATCTCATAAAATAAGTTCTGCAAGTTTACTAACCATAGAAAATTAGGTACTAATTTATCTTATGAAAAGTAGTTATTTGCTAATTACCGTCGTTTTTGCCACATTTGCTCAAAAGCATCTGCAAGTTCTATGTTGGTAATTTCTTCGGAATCTTGAAATTTCAAGAAACCATTTCCGCCATGTCCTTGTAGGAGTTAAAAAGATCAAAAACATGTACTTTTTAAATGCAAACTGCACACATCCAGATATAAACATTTACTTCATTCATGGCAATATTTTAATATTATTTGTTATTTTATACTCTAAAATGAAAAGTACTATGAAAACAAAAAAAATTTGATTTTCCATTACACCAATTAAAAATAATGAAAGACTCTGCAAAAAATAGCAGATTTCTCTACAAGTTCTATTGTTCCATTCTAAAAAAGCTCATTTATACTTTTGCACTGGCTCCATTATTATGTCAGAAGTGAGTTTCTATAGATAATTTCTCAAATACAAATACCAGGCAAACATTTGGGTGAGAAAGGGGTTACAAACACTAGCTGGTCCCATAGTATGTTAGTACTGTTCACGGTGTACACCTGGAATGCTATCCTACTAGGAAGTGTTGTTCTCACATAAAAAATAAAACCTGTTTTCCTAAACAATTATACTTTTTCAAACTTAGGTGTCTACTACTATCAACCACTGTCCGAAGAGCTGACCAGAAGACTGTGACATTTAGAATGCATGGATAGAGCCCAGGCTGTCTGGATTCAAATGCTAGTTTTGCCACTTGTGACTGTGTTAATTAAGTTAGGCAAATATCTTGATCTTTCTATGCCTCAGTTTCCCTAGCTGTGAAGTAAGAAATATATCAGCACCATCACTAGCATGCCTATAAAGGGTCCTTTGTGTGGATTTTAAAAGGTACTTCCCATGGGGCATCGAAGTAGGAAAATCTGTCTATTTCAGTGGCCCTCTGAATATATGCAGTCCTGTGAGCTCAAAATTGGTTAGTAGTTTTGTCGTTGTGGGGGAAATATGATACTTCTTCCTCCCATTAGAACAACTCTATAGCAAGGCATACACCTTACTATGTGTAAACATACCGTAGAATGCTACTCCCACTCAACCCCCTAGCCAAACACTTAGGCAGTGCATAACCCACACAACTATAAACACAGCCCCAAATATCAGTACCTAAATCTCTGGATTGCTATAAGGATGAAATGAATTCATACACACAATGATTTACAATATTGCCTGAGGCACAGTAAGCCTCATTAAATATTAGCTATTATCATTTTATTATATTGTTAATTGTCAGCCCTCCTACTCTCTTACATGGGTTGGCAAATTTTCTGTAAAGGCCCAGGTAGTAATGTTTTAGACTTACAGGCCATATGCTCTCTTGCAACTACTGGACTCTTGTCATTGTTGTATAAAGTGGCCACAGATAATATGTAAAACAAATGGATACAACTGGCTCTTATACAACTTTATTTCTAAAACAAGCAATCTTTCCATGGGCCATACTTTATCAAATCCTATCTTTGACTACTGGAATTTCTTCCATATCTGGAGTCCTCCTGAAAGAGTTTCCATAGATTCAGAAAAAAAAGTTGTAAAACCTTTAGTTTATTATATTCAATAAAGCTAAGCTATAAGACTGTACTTTATAATATTTACCACAAAAGCTTGAAAATTTCTTATAACTTCACATAAACTAAAATGAAAATTTTCCTAACTTAGCTCTGCTAACTTATAAAGCTTATAAATTGATCAAATTTGAAAAGCTGTAAGTAAATGCAACATGATAGAAAAAGAAAAGTAAACCACCAAGTAGAAGTCAGTAACCTTCCTGCTGTGTGACATCTAAAAACCATTCTGCACATGTTTTATCATCAGTTGAAACATTTTTAAATATAATTTGGTCAACATTCATATATACCGAATACACCATAAAACAGAGCACTGGTAATGAAAAGATGAAAACCCCATTATCAACAACACCTTGGATTTCAAAATCTAATGAAGGCAATAAATATCCAAACAAGAAAACAGTTAAGTTGAATGCTCATACAGTAACTACAGATTTGGGACACCTCAGTGGCTTAGTTGGTTAAGCATCTGCCTTCGGTTCAGGATGATCCCAGAGTCCCAGGATCAAGCCTCCATTGGACTCCCTGATCAGTGGGAAGTCTGCTTCTCCCTTTGCCTCTCACCCCACTCATGCTTGCTCTTGTTCTCTCTTTCCCAAATAAATAAATAAATAAATAAATAAATAAATAAATAAATAAAATCTTTAAAAAAAAAAAAAAACTACAGATAACACGGGAGTATAAAGAGGGGAGCCTACACCAGCCAAGGAGATAAGAAGTGTCTCTGGGCAATTATAAAATATATGTCAGGACACTTCTGAGGGAAAAATGTTGTAATTATTAATTACATTAGGGTAACAGGTGTAAACTAGGACTGTCTCAGGCAAGTGGAGACATGCGTCACCCTAGACTTACAGAGGAAAACCACCAAAGGAAGTGACCCCTGAGCTAAGACTAACAAGATAAGGAATAATCAGGGAGGCAAAGTGAACTGAGAAGACATCAATAAACAAGGGTCATAGCTTAAGCAAACAGAGGACAGAAAACAGTCCTAGAAGTAGAGAAAGTGCAAAAACTAAAATGAAATAAATAATATCACTAAATAATAATATATTATTATTTTATATATTATATAACTAAATAATTAATAAAACTAAAGCACATTATTAAGACTTTATATCTAGTATTCCTCAAAGTATAGACAAAAGACTATTATTTCGGCTTGTATGTGGGGAGCATATTTAAAATGCAGTTTCTTAAGCCCCATTCTGGACCAAAACTAAATCAGTAATTTTAAAGACCCAAGTATCTGCATTCAAATAATCCCTATATTCGCTAAAATTTGAGACTCCATCAACAGAAAACCCCTGTAAAGGTTTTACACAGAGGAAGGACAGATTTGCAGTTTTTAACTAGTTTAGTAGAATGTTCAACAGGAGACAGAAGGCAATAAGGCTATAGCAGGGATACTAAGTAAAAGGTAAGAAGCTTTACCAGTCATAGTAAAAAAAAAAAAACATTAAAAACAAAGATAATATACCAAGGGGCTGTATAAATGTTACCATTTCAAGTTGTCATAGAAGAAAAGAAAACTCCAAAACAAACTATTTTCAACAAAATTCATTTAAGGTGTTTAAATTTCTTTCCACGAAGATTCCTTTTTGAGGAGAGTCACAATATATTCTATTTCTAAATACCTAAATTCTCAAATTACCTGTCATATAAATAAGAATATTGCTCCTATCATCAGAAAGAAGACGTTTTGACCGAGGAGTACTAGGTGGGATCCTGCCAGTTAATACCCGTAAAAAATTCTCCACAGTTACCTGGGAAAAAAAAGAAGAAATAAGATGAAATAGAACCAGGGGAATTTTCAAAAACATTCCTTCTTCTTTATGCATTACTCAGCATAAGCTGAAAATAAATCGCAAAGTGAAATATAACTCAATTAAAATATATTTATTTAAATATATACACCTCAGCGTTAACTTGCTTCCATTAAATACTAACAGCTGACAAAACTACCCTGGGGGAAAAAAATCAGTTAATTAAATTTAAAACTTGAAATGTTATGCAAAGTATTGCCCAAAATTTAAAAATTATTGTCTTCATAGGCAATTCTTTGGAAAGATACAAAATATAGAAACTTGTAAATAAATTCAGCAACATTATAACTATTACAGTTAATCTGTACAACTACCCAGTGAATTCTAGATAAACATTGAAAGACAGGTCCATAATGAATCATAAAAATAAAACCATAAGGATAATTCCATTAATAATCCCCAAATTATGTATCTTTAATTTTTAATGTATTTTGTTACTTAAATTTTGTTAGAGGTATTTTCAACATGTAAAAAATTCATCACACTTTAAACCAGATTTCCCAACCTGGGATTTGTGGACCTGTAGGATTCTTTGAAAGCATATTTAAAGTTGTATTACACAGATAAATTTAAAAAATAGAAAATTTATCTAGCTTTCTTATTTAACACTTCCCTAGATCACGAGTATATAAATATATATGTATATGTATGTGTTTCTGTGTAAGTGTGCATAATGTTTGGTTTATATTTTCCCCAGAAAACAGCAAAATGCTGAATGTTTTAATAGGATTTCTTTTTGGGTAATTATTTTATGATGGCTAAATCAACAAGTAGAAAGTCCAACATTCATACACATTTAATTACTGAACAAACATTTCTGAGTGCCTTCAAAGGCCTATAAGGAAATTGCTAGGTATAAAATACATAAGATATAGGCTATGTCCTCAGGGAGCATACAGGCTAGGAGGAAACAGATATGATTTTAAAATTGTTTCAAAACAGGGCAGCCCGGGTGGCTCAGTGGTTTAGCATCGCCTTCAGTCCAGGGTGTGATCCTGCAGACCCGGGATCGAGTCCCACATCAGGGTCCCTGCATGGGGCCTGCTTCTTCCTCTGCCTGTGTCTGTGACTCTCTCTCTCTCTGTCTCTCATGAATGAAGGAATGAATGAATGAATGAATGAATGAATAAATAAATAAATAAATAAATAAATAAATAAAATCTTTTTTTTTTTAATTGTTTCAAAACAGGTCTAGGCACACAGAAAATTGTGTCTTCCTTTTGGTAGGCTTGGTAAAAGGAGAAGGACTATTGAGGAAGACTTCACCAAGGAAGACTTCAAATTTTAAACATCCTCACTACCTATTAAATTTAAAATGAATTTTCAAAGGGAAAAATATAGTATAATGCCATTTTTCAGATTTACATTTTAAGTTTTTACTATATATGCATAAAAACACTGGAAGCATACTAAAAGTGATTACCTCTAAGTAGTGGAAATATGGGTAAGTTTTTTTGTTAATCATATTAACTTTTCCCCAATTAATATATTTACTAAAAATACAAACTTGAAATTTTAGGTCAAATATAAAAAATGGACAATGCATTTACTGTAAAAAAAAAAGTTGATACATGAAACCTCACTAAAATATTCTAACATAAAAGCCAAGACAAAGTTGTCCTATCCAAGATACATATATGAAATGTTCATGCTGTGTTAGCCTCACTCATGTATTGTTTTCTTAATATGAACTCCAGAGACAGAATTATTATATCAAAGCTTCAGTGACAACTATATACAAAGTTTAAAGAAAAAGAATAAAACTATTTCATTCTACCACTATTCTAGAATTTAAGTCATGATAAATTTCAAAAATGTTGCTAAATCACACAATATTACCTCATAGCTTCTATAATCCACTTCCACATCATCTCCATACACATTCAGTTCCATATTCTTGTGACTAAACACTGTAGCTGGTTTGGGATTTCTAGGGTTGCATGCCATATCGTCTGCAAGCATCAGAACAATGTGACTTAAAAAAAAAAAAAAACAATCCAGTAAATATGCTACTTAAATAAAACCACAAAAGTTCAAAGCAGACACATTTTATTTATATGAGGCAATTAAGTTCATTCTTTTCATTAAAAATAACTTAAAATAATTATTGAGTACATATTTTAAAAGAGCTTTTTAATTGTTTTCATATCCTGATGCAGTATAAGCTTTAAAGCAAAGAAATTAGAGTAAATATGGCATGAATTTATCTGCAGAACTTGAAGCTACTACCTTAATTTTTTTCCCAACATAGTATATATTTCATCCCATACAGCAAAGGGGAGCTGAAAGAGCTCCACCACCTTCCTTAAATATTTTTTTCTCAATTTTAGGACTATATGACATTTAAGACTTACAGAGTCCACATTAAACCGTGAATTTAACTTTCAGAATCCCAAATGCTTAAGTATGAAAACATGCAAGTGCAACTGGGGCACCAGAGGAACACATCCCCAGTCCAATCACTCTTCACTGGCTCCACTCCATCTCCCTAATACCAGCCGCCATCTCTTGACTAGATACTGAAATGGTTGCTTGCCTGGCTTCTGGCTTCCACTCCTGCCCTCTTTCAGGTCACTTTCCCTATAACTACCAGAATGATCTTTCTTAAGCAAGTTATTAAACTTTCTCACTTAAAATCCTCCAAAGACACCCCATTCCAAATTAGTGGAAAACGGAAACTCCTTTCATGGTCTGAAAGGCTGTAGCTCCTACCATCCATGTTCACTGTGCTCCTTCCACATTGGCCTTTCTGTTCCAGGAATATGCCACACCTTTCCCACTTTAGGGACTACTGACCAAATAAATTCAGACTTCTCCGAAATCTTCCTGTCATTCCAGTATCAGTTAAACTACTCCATTCTCATTACATGTTTAATTTTCTACAGGTCATTTATGAATTGGAGATCCCCATCATCTCCTACCACCACTCCTACTGGAATATAAGCTCTCTGAGGACAGGGGCTTTCTCTATCCTGTTCACCACTGCATCACTCACACTTGGGCTTAGTAAAAGATGCTGGCATATAGTAAGTATTCAATAAATATATGTTGAGTGAATGAAATGTTCTCATTTCTGCATATATTTTCTTCGAGAGAAAATTATAAAATTCATCTTAAATACGCCTCATCTTGATCTTACCATTAAAAGCGATGAACATGAATCAGGCAATTCTTCATTCTACCATATACTTGAGCTTCCCAAACATAAGGGAAAAACTAATGTGGTATACATAATTAGTTTGGCAGGAGGTTGCAAGAAGAAAGTGTTCTGCTGCATATGTTCCAAATACATTAAAGTTCAAAACTGAAACATTGTGATTTTTCTTGAAAATTGGCTAGATTTCTATTTGAAAGGGTTCCAACCCTGCCAAATTCAAAGATCAGATCTTCAGCTGTTACTGATTCATGCTCACAGAATGGTGAAAGCTATTCCTCTTAAAATGGAAAAAATATCTTTCCTTTTTTTGTAACTTAAGATGACGAACTTACATTAAGTTATTATCAATCATCTTTTTTGTTACAAGTCACTATTAAATAAGACTGAACTGACCTCCAAATCTCAATGTAAGAGTATTCTTTAGGTCATTTATTTGACATATAGTTAATTTTACTCTATGAAATCAAATGATCATCAAATATCTATACAATGTCAATGTCATAAAGTAGTAGTAATTTAGGCAGCCCCGGTGGCGCAGCAGTTGAGTGCCGCCTGCAGCCCCGGGGTGTGATCCTGGGGACCCGGGATCGAGTCCCGCATTGGGCTCCCTGCATAGAGTCTGCTTGTGTCTCTACCTCTCTCTCTGTGTGTCTCTCATGAATAAATAAATATAATCTTAAAAAAAAATAAAGCAAATATTTTTTAAAAAGTAGTAATTTCAGCTTAAAATTATAAATTCAGGGGTGCTTGTGTGACTCAGTCTAAGTTTTGGCTCAGGTCATGATTTCAGTGTTGGGGAATTAAGCCCCATCTTGGGCTCTGTGCTCAGTGGGGAGTCTGCTTGTGATTTTCTCCCCGCTCCCTTTCCTTCTGCCCCTCCTGGTGCTCTCTAAAATAAATAAATAAATCTTTTTAAAAAATCATAAATTCAACCAACATTTTTCCTGCAGGTAATTTTAGCCTCAATATAAGTATAATAATCCTCATTTAACATACCATTTTTAAAAAACCATTTTACTTGTAGATAATAAATTTAAAAAATAGGACTGGAAACAGACTGGATTTCAAAGTTTATAAATCCAACCACATATTCTCATTCATTATTTCTAAAACTTAAGAAATGTTCAGTACTCCTTCCTGGAGGAATAAATAATTCTCTTGGTCCAGGTATTAAATTATTTGTATGATATTTACATATATAAATGAAAGTTAACTCCTTAGGCTTATAGTTCTTATAAAACTATAAATAAGTACAAAATTATAAATCACATTTAAAAAAATTATCAAACTAATAATATTCTAAAAACATTAACTGGAGGATGGATGTCATTTTGAAGGAGGATGTCATTTTGCTAACAGTGACTGCTATTATATTTAACAGGAGAAAGAGATTACATCAGGCCTGGTTCTACACTTCAATTTTTTCCCTATATTTTGATATCTACACTACAATATAAGTCAATAATACAGAAAATCTTCATAAAAGTTACGCTGTACAAAATGCAATTCATGAATTCTTGTTATGTTATTTGACTGTTCAGGGATCAGCTTTTTAAAGATTTTATTTATTTACTCATGAGAGACACACAGAGAGACAGAGAGACAGAGAGAGAGAGAGAGAGAGAGAGGCAGAGACATAGGCTGAGGGAGAAGCAGGCTCCATGCAGGGAGCCCGACGTGGGACTTGATCCCAGGACTCTAGGATCATGCCCTAAGCTGAAGGCAGGTGCTAAACCACTGAGCTACCCAGGGATCCCCAGGGATCAGATTTTATATTTAACGAAGATTTTGCCAATAAATATTCTTCAAACATCAGTTACCATGAGATCTAACTGGTTGACTCCTTAAAGTATCTTTTTTACTCGAAATCCCAGTTAGCATCCCAGCAGTTTTTTTTTTCTTTTTAAGATTTTATTTATTTATTTGACAGAGAGAGAAAGAGAGAGAATGAGCAGGAGGGTAGTGGCAGAAAGAAGCAGACTCCTTGCCGAGCAGAGAGCGCAATGCGGGGCTTAATCCCAGGACCCTGAGATCATGGCCTGAGCTGAAGGCAGACGCTTAACTGACAGTCACCAGGTGGCCCCCAGCAGTTATTTAAGTCTTCACTGAGAGGGTATCAAATCAATCACTGCTGGAATTAAAACCAAGGAAAATAAATCTACACTAAAGACATACTACTACATTCCTATAAATAATGACAGCAACTTGCTTTGTATCTTATTAAAATTAAGAGAAAAATCCCTCAAATACATCCAATTGATATAAGAATATGATATTCTTACAGTGTGGCAATTCTATACTACCATGTGTGATGACTCAAATCTCACACTCTATTCAAGGGCCTGCAAAACCTACATCACACAACAAAGCATATGGCAATATGGCATTCTCTCAACACAAAACCAAAAGAAAAAGTGAACACTGAAATTGTACAGAGTTCAAACTGAGTTTGAATCCAAATAATATATTGGTTGTTTACATAATAGTTTCCACTGTTTATTAATTTTACTTTATTTTATGTGCATGTGCATAAGAGAGAAGGGGGGAGGGGCAGAGAGATTATTTTAAGCAGGTTCCACTCAGTACAAAGCCCAATGAGGGGGATTTGATCTCACCACCCTGAAATCATGACCTGAGCCAAAAACAAGCATTTGATACTTAACCGACTGAGCCATCCAGGCCCCCCTCCAGGTATTTTGAATCAAGCATTCCTGTTAAAAAAATATGGGTACATATCTATATATATCTACTAATTTGTATGTCAGATGTATTTGTTACTTTAAATATATATAACAAGTATTAGTGGAGCATAATTTCTTTCCTTTTATAGATTAAAAAACTACTAATATTTTCTTCCCTTACCACTCTTTGGTATATGATTTAAAAAGAATATCTTGATCATGCTTACATAGATTTTAAGGACAACTAAAATAAAAATGAAATTTTAAACCTTGTCAAAAAAAGAAGGCATGAAACAATTTGAGAAACATGGTGGGGGGGGGAGTCTAAAATAAGTACATTTCATTGTGTTTGACAAACATTAAAGGAACAGGTAAACCCTGCAACCAGGCTGTTGGGCCATTCTTCTACTCACTTACTCACTTCCCTAATGTTCTTCCTTGACCCCCAATCAGGAACTAGGAACCAATGGGTTAAAGAAAAAAAACCATTTTAAATAGATGAGTAATTTTTCACTGTCCTACACCATTAGAGTGTGACATTTCAAAAAGCCTAACTCTTCATTTATTAATAGGCTGGTATTACCTTAATAAAATTTTTTCACTGAATTAAATTTAAATAAATTACTGTGTTGGTAAGAGTGTTTTTTTTTTTTTTAAATGTTCAACTAAAATCGCTATATACCCTATAGCCATGTTACTAATCCGAGAATTCGGCCTGAGAGCATCTTTAGCTCCCAGAGTTAGGATCACCAGGCTTATCTTCAGCAATATCAACATCCAATGTAAAACAGTAGCTGAAATTAAGGCAGCAGGAAATCTGAGAATCACAGGGATCTTTGATGCTCTCTTAAATCTCTGCATTTCTGCTCCTAGGTGTTTTGTTTTTGCTTTAGTCTTCGTCATTTTTTTTTTGTTTTGTTTTGTTTTGTTTTTTTACCCCTGACATAAATTATGCTGGATACTCCATAGATCACTGCTTCTGTAGCAATGCAGTGATTGTTGGGCCAAGTAAATTCAACAAACTTTGTTGTATAATCATTAGCTCGATGCCAGAATAATTTACTTTTAGGTTTTTCTCCTCCTTTTCTGTCTTGAGGAATCTCCAAGTTAATAAATCTCATCACCAATGCACTATGA